TTATTCTGCTCACTCTAGGTTGAGTAAAGGGGAGGAACTATGGTGTCTAACTATTCAACCCAATGTCTCCATTCTCTCCATGGTGGCATGACTCTTCTAAACTTGTCAGATATCCATGATGGGCAAGGCAGAAATCAATACTCTGGGGACCCCAATGAAATATTGGATTTTGAACACAGGCTTCCAACCTTTCATTTCCCTGAGGGAATCTGGGAAGCAGCAGCTTTCTTTCTATGATAAGGTACTACAACAGGGGGAGGAACTACAGCAAGAAAATGTTCTAAATATTTCTTTAGGCTTTACTGAGACTGGCTTTACATTTGGCCAGGATGCAGGATCCTTTCAATTACATTCCAGATTTTTCACAAAGTGAATTTGTCCATGGATTGTTACTGAATCAGTGTTTGTAGTGGAATAGAGGCTCAAGGGGTTCCTGATGTACCATTTTTCTAATGTCACTCTTTTTGGTTATATTTTTAAGTCTTTTTTTGGTGGTTATTCTGGGAATTATAAGGAATACCTTATTTTCTCAGGAAGATGGCAGCAGAATAGGAGGACCCTAGGCTCACCTAATTCCGTGAATACAACTAGATAACTACCTAATCAGCCTGAAGGGCAAGAGACACACTAGCACACAGGGGAGCCCACAGGGGGAAGATGATATCCCACAGAAATTGGCTTGGAAAGTGAGAGGGGTCAAATTTTGTGAGTCTTTAGAACCAGGGGGGCTTAACCCTGGAGTTTTAAAGGTCAGTGGGCTTGGCTCAGGGAGAGGCCAGAGGGCATTGCTCTGCTCTTGGAAAGAAGGCAGGGCAAATAGCCCATGGACATACAGTTAGGAAAAAGCAATCTGAAGAGTGCCTGGGATACACAGTGGGGAGGTTATATGCTCTTCTTAGAGTGTTCCAGAGAAGCAGCATTACCTGAGAGACTTCTCCAGAAACAAAGGGACTAGCATGGGCCATTTCCCTCCCCTGTCCCTCAGCATAAGCACAGGGTCACCTGCAAGAACCAACACAGTGCATATACTTGCTACCTAATTTGCATGCACCAAGCCCTGCCCCCCACACTCTGATGTAAATATACTTCCAGGTCACATTTGATTCAGTTCCAGCATGTCCAGCCCCCTCCCTGTGAAGACTGGCCCAAACATGAGCCTAAACTACATCTCCCAACTGGGGAGTTTTTTGGGCCTTAGTTTTGGTGGCTGTGGCAACAGGTCTCATTTCACAAACAGATCAGAGTACACTTAGTTAAAACTCACCACATTCAGGCCAGAGTAAAAACACTATCCACAACACAGAAAGAGTCTCTGCAGATGACTGGCCTGAAAGATAAAAGGGACAGTACACAGGGACAGAGCATATATTGGAGAAGGTCCATGAAGTGCCAGACACTGGGTAGCAGGGGACACTAGCACTACAGGATCTCTTCCTCACAAGGCCATTCCCTTAGCAAAGATGTAGCTGAGTTTTCTAATACAGAGAAGCAGGCAAAGAGACTTAGACAAATGAGAAGGCAGAGAAATTTATCCTAAATGAAAGAAGAGAATAAGGTCACAGCCAGAGACCTAAGTGAAACGGATAGAAGTAACATACTTGATGGAGAATCTAATGATCATAAAGTACTCACTGGTATTCAGAAAATAGTGGAAGGCATCAGTGAGACCATTAACAAAGAAATAAAGAATAACACATTGGAGATAAAAGGCTCGATAAATGATGTCCCAGCGGAGCAAGATGGCAGAAGAGTAGGAATTCTCAACTCACCTGGTCCCACCAACTTACCTAGATAACTTTCAAAACACCCTGAACACCTATGAATTTGAACTGAGATTTAAAGGGACAACAGCTGGAACACTATAGAGAGAAGGGTTTTCTCTTCTACCAAGGTAGAAAGGTGGGAAAAAATAATATAAAAAAGAATCAAGTTGGGGAGGAGCACTGCAAGGAGCCAGGCTAAAGCTGGGGGGCAAAAACTTCTGAGACATGAAAGCCCAGCCCTGGAGAGGCGGGAGCTTTAAAAATCTGCAGAGGATTCTTCTTGGATGGAAAAGTGCTTAGCAGGGAAATTGGGCAGAATCGCAGGAGGGGCAGTGAAGCCTCCAGTTTCCTGGAGGCACTAATAGAGGAAGTGCGCCCAGGGTAAAGCTCACCACAAACCATGGACTGATCTTGGTAAAGGGCTGGAGCCCACAGCTGGCAGGGCTTTGGGAAAAGCCAGTCAGTTAGGCGGGCCAGCTCTTGCCAGAGGTGTCTGTGCCCTACTGCCTTTGGGAGCTGCGCCCCCCAGGAGTGTGATTCCAACAGCACAGGGCCCCAGATCCCAGGGTGCTGAGCGGACAAAGCCCATGATCCTGGTTCCCCCTGGGACAGGCAGGAGTGGGGAGGGCACAGGACAGTGAGAACTCTCCTGCCACTGGGCTCCCTGCAAGCTGTACAGATCAGTGGATCCACACAGCCCCAGGAGCATCTACGCCAGTGCAGACTGGGAGACTGCATTAGCTGTTAATGGGGAGCTGACTCCAGAGCTGGAAATCTGGACACCACCATTGTTGTTTTTCATCCTTGTTTCACCTAGTGACTGGGAGGGGCGGGGCTGCCAGGGAACAAAGGCCTCACAGGATAAACAGCTCACACTGAACCCGGGACCTGGCAGGGGACGGGGCATCACCGTCCAGGCACACACACCTGAGAATCAGCATGGCAGACCCCTCCCCCAGAAGACCAGCTGGAAGAACAGGGGAAGAGCAAGTTCTTGACCAAGCAGCACTGGAAAGCTCCAGGGGAAGTAGAGGGATTTATACTATATGGAACTAGAGGGTCCCTCCTTTTAAAAAATTTTTTCCCTTTTTCTATTACAACACATTTTTATATCAGACTAAATATTTCCAATATTTTTTCTCTTTTCTCACCTTAACTACAATATTTTACCAGCTCTTCATTTTTAAGTTTCTTCCTTTTTGACTTTCATATTTCTACAATTACATGTCTTAGATATATTTTCCACTTCTAAATTCCTTTCAACATACTCAATTTAATTTTGGGAGATATGTGAGATACGGTTTTTTGTTTTATCTTTTTTGTTTTGTCTGCCTCATTTTGTTCTACAATGGCAGAAGTTAAGAGCTTCTAAAACAGGACCAGCATGCACCCAGAACCAAGTGGAATACCATGCTGGTTCATTCTGTGAGATTATAGTCTCCCTTCATTCCCATTTTCCCCTCTCTTTTATCTTGTTTATGTTTTGGTGGTCAATGTTGGGGCTTTCTACAAGTATTGCTGGTTTATATAAATTTGGGACTGAGCATCTTCTAACATACAGAACTTAATACACTCAGATCCAAGAGGATCATCCTCTAGGACCCCTCAGGTAGACTACCTTCTCCCTCCTTTACAACTTCTTCACCACCACCATCTCCCAGTTTCCTCCCTTTTCTCTCTCTTTTTTTCTTTTCTCTCTTTACCTTTTTTTTCTCTTCTTTTTTTCTTCTTTGGGAATTTTGGCCTTAATTTTTCCTACTTTGTTTTAAAATTTGTTTTTCACTTTAGTGGCCCTTTTTGTTTTATGTTTCTGATCTTTGTTTTCATTTTCTGGTCTCAGACCTCATCAGAATCATCTAGGGTGAATTTACTTAGGTTGTGGTTGATATTCTTGACTCATCCTGCTCATACAGCCACTCTGCACTGAACAAAATGACTAGACAGAAGAATTCACCACAAAAGAAAGAATCAGAAACAGTACTCTCTGCCACAGAGTTACAGAATATGGATTACAATTAGATGTCAGAAAGCCAACTGACAAGCACAATTATAAAGCTAATTGTGCCTCTGGAAAAAAGCATAAAGGATTCTATAGACTTTGTTACTGCAGAATTCAGATCTAATCAGGCTGAAATTAAACGTCAGTTAAATGATATGCAATCCAAACCGGATGTCCTAACAACTAGGGATAATGAGGAGGAAGAAACAGTGACATAGAAGATAAGTTGATGGGAAGGAAGGAAGCTGTGTAAAAAAAGAGAGAAACAATTAAAAGACTATGATTAAAGGTTAAGGGAAATAAATGATAGCCTCAGAAGGAAAAATCTACATATAATTGGGGTTCCAGAAAACGCCGAGAGGCCGAGTGCCAGAAAGCATATTTGAACAAATCATAGCTGAAAACTTCCCTAACTTGGGGAGGGAAACAGGCTTTCAGATCCAGGAGATAGAAAGATTCCCCCAAAATCAATAAAACCGTTCAACACCTCAACATTTGATAGTGAAACTTGCAAATTCCAAAGACAAAGAGAAAATCTTTAAAGCAGCAAAAGACAAGAGATTCTTAACTTACATGGGGAGAAATATCAGATTAAGAGCAGATCTCACCACAGAGCCTGGCAGGCCATAAATGGCTGGCAGGATATATTCAGGGTACTAAATGAGAAGAACATGCAGCAAGAATACTATATCCAGCAAGACTCTCATTCAGAATAGGTGAGATAAAGAGCTTCCAAGATAGACAGAAACTGAAAGATTATGTGAGTATCAAACCAGCACTGCAAGAAATATTAAGGAGGACTCTATAAAAGAAAGAGGAAGCCCAAAGAAATAATTCACAAAAACAGGGACTGAACGGATATTATGATGAGACTAAATTCATATCTTTTTTTTTGGAACTTGGTGCTTTTTATTTACAAAAGAAAAATAATAAAGGAAAAGTCTGAAGCTAATCAGCTGGAGATGAAGGGGTAAAGGTGGAAACCCAAGGGGAAGAGGAGGGCAGCCTGCAAAGAGAGGAGGGGAGGGGATCTGGCTCTAAGGAAGCTGGAGGGTTCCAGCCTTCAGGGGCTTCCCAGGACCAGCCCTGCCCTACCAGAGGCTCAGATCAGTGGGCCCGCAGTTGGGTTTTCTCCTGCCTACTATGGCTTTTCCAGGAGCCTGAGTTCCAGCTCCAAGAGGCTGAAATGGCAGGGGAAACTGAGGCCACAGAGAGCATATGGGTCCTGCCACCACCCCTCACTGTAGCGTGATCTTGGCAGCCTTGGCATGAATAAGGGCAATGAGATCCTGGTTGATGAGGAAGATGAATCTCAGGTTGGCAATCTCCACCACAGAGTTGTTGCTGAAGTGCCACTTGGAGGCACACGGTACCCGCTGTCCATCAATGTAGATGGGCCGCCGACCCTCATTGGCAATGAAGAAATCACCATTATTTTTCAGCTTAATGACACCTTGCTTCTGGGAGATCTTCCAGGAAGGACCCTCCAGAGACAGGTCCACATCAATCTGGTTATCCTTGGTTGCTCTGCCCAGGGTGATCTCTTGGGAGCACATCAGGTACTGCACCATGTGGCCCTGCAGCACTGCCAGCATCTGGTTGTCAAAGTCAGGAGAGCTCATGCCTATGATGCTGTCTACCAGCACCTGCCACTTATGTAGCTCTTGTGCCAGCTGTTGGATCTCTCGTTTCTGGCGCCAGTCGGCCACTGTCAGCTCATGTTCCAGGACCTCATCTCGCATATCCTTGAGCTTACTGTCGTCAATCAGGTCCTCTGCATCTGAAAAGTTGAGCACTTGGTCCCCCTTAGGCTGTGGCTGCACTGTCTGGTCCTCCAGTAGGTAATACTGCTTCATGAGCTGCCAGTGGGCCTGCAAGGCCTTGGCAGTACAGGCCAGGTTGAAGGCATCAGGGTGTCTGTGGATCAGGTCCTGGAACATCTCCAAGGTGGGCTGGCTGGTTGATCCCACTTTGCTCAGCAGCTGTTCTCAGCCTTGCTAAACAAGGCCTTACTCTGGATGGCAGCAATGGCTTCTGGGTGCAGCTGTCTCATGGCTTGGCAGGCCAGCTTGGAGATGACAGGATCATAGAGCAGGCCATACCAGCACTTCTGAACCTCCCAAAGGGTGAAGTGGCAGCTGAACTTCACACCCAGCTGGACAGATGTCAGGTCATTGGTCTGCAGCACAGTGTTGACAACCAGGAGGTCATCTACAGGCTTCCAGCAGCCCAAATTCTTGGTCACCTGAAGTGGCTGTTTGCTCTTCTTCACACGCTTGGTGAGTCCAGGGGTTGTGGCTGGGCTGGGCGGCACGGGAGTGCTAGGGGCCTTGGACACCTTCTTCTTCTCACTAGAGGAAGGTTCACTCCCTGAACAGCACCCTGGCTCCACCCCACTGGCCCCCTTCACCGGGGTAGAGGACTTAGCCAGGCTGCTCTCCACCAGCTCATCATCAAACTTCTTCCTCTTGATGAATCTGGAGGAGCTTCTCCATTTAGGGATGGTGCCCAAGGCCTGAGAGGAAACTTGATTCTGCCCTGCCAGCGACTCTTCATCCTCTGAGTGGCTGGCAGTGCTGGAGGCCATCAGAGATGAATTTAGCAGCCCCTGAGAATCTTTGTCCACCCTCTTACAGTCTCAGAGCCACGGGTTCCAAACCACAGGGCTAGGAGGAAGAATTCCACAGGCTCATCCAAGGATTCTGACCAGGTGAGCTTAGAGGCTGAGAGGAGATTCATTCCTAGGCTGCCAGCTCCAACAATTTCTCCATGGTGAAGGCAGCAGATGCAGGGCCAAACCCAACTTCCATGAGGTACATCTACTTCCAGGTCTGCAAACTAGGGGCAGCGCTAATTCATATCTTTCAATAGTAACTCTGAATGTGAATGTGCTAAATGATACCATCAAAAGATGCAGGGGTTTGGACTGGATAAAAAAGCAAGAGTCATCTATTTGTTAGCTACAAGTGACTCATTTTAGACCTAAGGACACCCACAGCCTGAAAATGAAGGGGTGGAGAACCATTTACCATTCAAATGGTCCTCAAAAGAAAGCTGGGGTAGCAATCCTCATATCAGATAGATTAAAGTTTATCCCAAAGACTGTAGTGAGATGAAGAGGGACACTATATCATACTTAAAGGGTCTATCCAACAAGAAAACCTAATAATAATGAATATTTATACACCTAATGTGGGAGCAGCCAAGTATATCAATCAATTAATAACCCAATAAAGACATACTCAGATAATAATACACTAATAGTAGCAGACTTCAACATGGCACTTTCTGAAAATGACAGATAATCTAAGCACAACATCACCAAAGAAACAAGGACTATAAATGACACACTAGACTGGATGATTTCACAGATATAAACAGAAATTTCCATCCAAATGCTAATCAATACATATTCTTCTCAAGTGCACATGGAACTTTCTCCAGAAGAGACAACATACTGGGTCACAAATCAGGTCTCAACCAATATCAAAAGACTGGGATTATACCCTGCATATTTTCAGACCACAATGATTTGAAACTAGAATTCAATCACAAGAAGAAATTTGGAAGAAACTCAGACACGTGGAGGATAAAGAGCATCCTACTGAAAGATGAATGGGTAAAGCAGAAAATTAAAGAAGAATTAAAAAAATTTATGGAAACTAATGAAAATGAAGATACATCCACTCAAAATCCTTGGGATACAGCAAAAGCAGTACTAAGAGGGAAATACATCACAACACAAGCATCCCTCAAAAAATTGGGAAAAACTCAAATACATGAACTAACCTCACACCTAATGGAATAAGAGAAAGAACAGCAAATAAAACCTATGCCAGGCAGAATAAGAGAGTGAATAAAGATTCGAGCAGAACTCAATGAAATAGGGACCAGAAGAGTTGTAGAACAGATCAACAAATCCAGGAGGTGGTTCTTTGAAAGAATTAATAAGATAGATAAACCATTAGCCAGCCATATTAAAAAGAGAAAAGATTCAAATTAATAAAATCATGAATGAAGGAGGAGAGATCACAACCGATACCAAGGAAATACAAAGGATTTTAAAAACCTATTATGAGCATCTATAAGCCAATAAATTAGGCAATCTAGAAGAAAGGGATGCATTTCTTGAAAAACACAAATTACCAAAACTGGAGCAGGAAGAAAACTGGAGCTTATTGAACAGGCCAATAAGCAGGGAGGAAATTGAAGTAGTCATCAAAATTCTCTGAGGACACAAAAGTCCAGGGCCAGACAGCTTCCTAGGGGAATCCTATCAAACGTTTAAAGAAGAAACAATACCTATTCTGCTAAAGCTGTTCTGAAGGATAGAAAGGTACAGAATACTTCAAAACTTGTTTTATGAGGCCAGCATCACCTTAATTCTAAAACCAGAAAAAGACCCCACCAAAATAGAGAATTATAGACCAATATCCTTCATGAACACAGATGCAAAAATTTTAACAAGATACTAGCCAATGGGATCCAGTAGTACATTAAGAAGATTATTCACCATGACCAAGTGGGATTTATCTCTGTGATGCAAGGTTGGTTCAACACTCATAAAACAATCAATGTGATAGATCACATCAACAAGGGAAAAAACAAGAACCATATGATCCTCTCAACAGGTGCAGAGAAAGCATTTGACAAAATACAGCATTCATTCCTGATCAAAACTCTTCAGAGTGTAGGGATAGAAGGAACATTCCTCAGTATCTTAAAAGCCATCTATGAAAAGCCAACATAAAATATCGTTCTAAATGGGGAAAAAACTGAAAGCCTTTCCCCTAAGGTCAAGAGCACAACAGGGGAGCAGCCCGGGTGGCTCAGCGGTTTAGCACTGCCTTTGGCCCAGGGTGTGATCCTGGAGACCTAGGATCAAGTCCCATGTTGGGCTCCCTGCATGGAGCCTGTGTCTCTGCCTCTCTCTCTGTCTCTCATGAGTAAATGAATAAAATCGTTTAAAAAAAAAAAAAAGAACACGACAGGGATGTCCACTCTCACCACTGTTATTCAACATAGTACTAGAAGTCCTAGCCTCAGTAATCAGACAACAAAAAGATATAAAAGGCATTCAAATTGACAAAGAAGGGCAGCCCCAGTGGCCCAGCGGTTTAGCGCCGCCTTCAGCCCAGGGTGTGATCCTGGAGACCTGGGATCGAGTCCCACGTCGGGCTCCTTGCATGGAAGCTTGCTTCTCCCTCTGCCTGTGTCTCTGCCTCTCTCTCTCTCTTTCTTTCTCTCATGAATAAATAAAAAAAAATCTTTTAAAAATAGTATTTAAAAAAACAAATTGGCAAAGAAGTAGTCAAAATCTCCCACTTCACAGATGACATGATACTGTACATAGAAAACCCACAAGACTCCACTCCAAGATTGCTAGAACTTATTCAGCAATTCAGTAATGTGGCAGGATACAAAATCAATGCCCAGAAATCAGTGGCGTTTCTACACACTAACAATGAGACTGAAGAAAGAGAAATGAAGGAGTCAATCCCATTTACAATTGCACCCAAAAGTATAATACACCTAGAAATAAACCTAACCAAAAGAAGGAAAGGATCTATACCCTAAAAACTACTTAACACTTCTGAAAGAAATTGAGGAAGACTCAAAGAGATGAAAATATATTCCATACTCGTGGATTGGAAGAATTAATATTGTGAAAATGTCAATGTTACCCAGGGCAATTTACACATTTAATGAAATCCTTATAAAAATACCATGGACTTTCTTCAGAGAGTTGGAAAAAATCATCTTAAGATTTGTGTGGAATCAGAAAAGACCCCGAGAGACAGAACATGAGAGACTCCTAACTCTGGGAAATGAACAAGGGGTGGTGGAAAGGGAGGTGGGCAGGGGGTAGGGGTGACTGGGTGATGGGCACTGAGGGGGGCACTTGATGGGATGAGCACTGGGTGTTATGCTATATGTTGGCAAATTGAACTCCAATAAAAAAAAAAGTCCATGAATCAAACATGGCAAAATATTAAGGGTCATTAAATCTTAGTAGTGGGTACACAGAGTTCATTTTATGATTCTTTAGCCTTCCTATATGTTTAAAATATTTTAGAATAGAGTTAAAACACACACACACATGAACACACCAAAAGATCTTAAAGAAACCAGAGATTACTTTAGCCAACATTGAAATTCTACCACAGCACTAATGTCCTCTTTTCTCTTCTCTTCATTTGCACCTTAGGTAGCATTCAGCATCACCACAACCACCAACCCCCTACGAAATTCAGGATCCAGAGCCTATTATTCATGGTTTCTCTGCTCCCACAACTATTTTCTACTCCCTTATGAAAATATTTTTCAGTTTAGGGTCTTTGTATATGTGATTCTTAAGGTCCTCATATACATACAAAAAGTTATCTCTTTCCAGAGATCTTGAGGGTATGTCTTGGACCAGAACTCTTTTGGAATCATTTTAGGCCTTAGATACTCTTACATTTAAAAGCTTTATCTTGGAGGTGGGGCAAGATGGTGGAGGAGTAGGCTCCCCAAGTCACCTGTCCCCACCAACTTGCCTAGATAATTTTCAAATCATCCTGAAAACCTACGAATTCGGCTTGAGATTTAAAGAGAGAACAGCTGGAATGCTACAGTGAAAAGAGTTCACGATTGGCAAATTGAACTCCAATTTAAAAAATATGTAAAAAGAAACAAAAACAAAACAAAACAAAACAAAAACAAAAAACAAAAAAAAAAGAGAGAAAAGACCCTGAATAGCCAGGGAAATAATGAAAAAGAAAGGCAAAGCCAGGGACATCACAATGCTGGGTTTCAAGTTGTACTACAAAGCTCTGGTCATCAAGACAGTATTGTACTGGCACAAAAACAGACACAGAGATCAATGGAACATAACAGAAAACCCAGAAATGGGCCCTCAACTCTATGGTCAACTAATATTCGACAAAGCAGGAAAGACTAGCCACTGGAAAAAGGACAATCTCTTCAATAAATGGTGCTGGGAAAATTGGACAGCCACATGCAGAAGAATGACTCTAGACCATTCTCTTACACCAGACACAAAGATAAACTCAAAATGGATGAAAGATCTAAATGTGAGACAAGATTCCATTAAAATCCTAGAGGAGAACACAGGCAACACCCTTTTTGAATTTGACCACTGCAATTTCCTGTAAGATACATCTATGAAGGCAAGGGAAACAAAAGCAAAAATGAACTCTTGGGACTTAATCAAGATCAAAAGCTTATTTATGCACAGCAAAAGAAACAGTTAACAAAACTAAAAGACAACCTCTGGAATGGGAGATGATATTTGCAAATGACATATTAGATAAATGGCTAGTATCCAAGATCTATATTTAGAACTTATGAAACTCAACATCCAAGAAATAAAAATCCCATCATAAAATGGGCAGAAGACATGAACAAAAAATTCACCAAAGAAGACATACCCATGGCCAACAAGCACATGAGAAAGTGCTCCACATCACTTGCTATCAGGGAAGTACAAATCAAAACCACAGTGAGATACCACCTCACACCAGTGAGAATGGGGAAAATTAACAAGGCAGGAAACATCAAATGTTGGAGAGGATGTGGAGAAAGGGGAACGCTCTTTCACTGTTAGTGGGAATGTGA